ATATATATATATATAAATAAATAAATAAACAAACTGTTAACTGGAAAATAAATGTTTTGTATTCGGTTAAATTTTCAATTTTATGTTCAAAACTGAATCAAAATGCAAATGTACTAAACTTATATTAGTTTTATTATCCTGTTTTTAAATAAACCTCTAAAGCTGATGTATTGTCTAATTTATTATGGACATATATTTGTATTTATAAAATAATTGGGATTATTTAATATGTGATTTGTAATTTATATCTAGTTGTAATACATGAATACTTTGATTCACTTTTATATTATGTAATTGATAATTTATTTAATAATCCCCTAATACCTCGTCATGGTATGAACGTAGTAGCATGGGATGGGACGTTCTGTGGGAAGTTCTCTGGTCAGCTAGCTGCTAGAATGTTGTCTTCTATAGATAGGGGTATTCAAATATCATAATAGAGTAGAGTATGAATCCTTAGATATACACTTGTTAGTGTAAAGTTGTGGACGTGAACATGCTTGGACAACATTGATAACCGACATTCTTAGTAATGCAAGATGTTTCGCATCATGTGAACAAGTGCATACTTTTCAAGAGACGAATCAGGTGACGAACCTATTGGTTGAGGAAATGAATTCTCATGTATCTTTGTATTTCCTTTATTATGTCGTCTTTGTATTTCATTTACCATTAGGAATAATATTTGTATGACCAGTTTCCCTCATAAATTCAAGTTGAGAGTAACACAAACCAACTAAAAGATAACATAACATATTAAAAGCTAGGAGACATAACATATTTAAGATGGATCGACAATTTAATTCGTCAAAAGAGAAAAAATAATAAAATTACCCTATATTAAAAAATATTGATTCACCCATTAATATATTCCAATTTTCTTTACAACCTCAAGCTTTAAAAAAAAAAATCAATGAATCTCTATCCCAAAAATTAAACCTCTTACGAAATAAGTTTCGGGAAAAAAATCAATCACATTTGATCAAACTGCCACAATCTAACTTTAACAAACCAAGTTGATGAGTTGAGTTGACTGACCGAATGAGCTCATCCCGTTCCTGTAACTCCTAATTCAAGCCTTAAACCAACATTTATATAAATTATAAAGCTTTATAATAATTATAATTATAATTATAATAAATGTATAAATAATTTGCAAGAACTGTCGACTGATCTTACATAACATGAGACGCTAAGAAAATCCACACTCAACAGCTCTATTATGGCGCATGGAGAACATGCATCCGATAATGGATCGTCTTATTTTGAGAATGCTACAACTATGACTAATTTTGGACAAGTAAATTACAAAGTTTTCGATCACTTTTTCCCAGCAACTTCAGAGTACCAAGATTTCCATGCATCCATGAAGTGAGAGAATAGGTCTTTCAAAGCTGCATCATAAGAGAAACCCAATCATAAAATTAGTTGATTTTTCAAACATATAATTGTTACGATGGTACATTAATTAAAATGGCGAAAAGAAATGTCATACAACCAATTATCCTACCCTAATTTGCCAATACTACACAAAGTAAAGACATTTATACTTGAGAATTGCCCTAATTTTATACTCGTAAACCCAAGCCTATACTTCAATCTTATCTTTTTAATTCATAACTTCAATTTTATCTTATTGCAAGGAATGAGAATAAAGTCCTATATTACTCAAGTTTCTTATTGACTGTCATCTTCAGAATTCTAATTAAGTAGCAGTTGTTTCTATACATAACTTTAATATTAATTTAATTTCTAAAGCAGTTGTTTGAAATTTGGACTATTCACAATGGTATTAATATTGCTTTGAGCATCCCTAATCCTATTCAAATAAACAACTCACTTTATTTTATTTTTTTAAAAGTGGATTCATTCATGTCACCTTAATTTTAAGTAATTCATTTAATTTTCACTCCAATGCAAATTTCTATCCAAAAATTCCTTAAATCACAAATATATTTTCTCTCCTTGATATTTCATATTCTCTCTCCTACATGAACACACAAAAACTAAGCAATCCACAAGGAATAGATACTTATATAAGCAACTCTCTAATATTAAACAACACCATATGACATATCAAAATAATATTTTATTGTTAAGAAATCCATAAGCAACTTTCATACTAAGATGCTCTTAGGAAGATAGTACTGCTATGGATCTTCTAAATAAAGGTTGTCACAGATTTCACCGTGCAAATTCTTTGGCAAAGCGTTCACCTCTAAATAAAAGTGCAAATTCTCAGAAAACCTAATCAGGTTGCTGACTCTTTGGCTTCTTTAGGACCACATCTCAAGATTTTTTATGTTTGCTCCTCTAATAACTACTTCCTTAATTGCTGAAGCAGCATGTATTTTCTTTCTTAGAGGCTTCTAGTTTTGTTTGTTTTTTAAGCTTTTCCCGTTTTTGCCACCAAAAAAAGTTACTAAGCTACACCAAATCACGAGGATGTATCTAATCAAAGATACTCCATTAAATAAATTCACAAATTCACATGAAACCGTAATCTATCGTAGACCTTATTATTTTCACAATTAGAGAAGTCAAAGCAGACAAATGAGGAGAAGAAATTAAAGGTGAGCTTGTCTAATGGAAATAAACAATTAGACAACCCATTCCTGAGAGAGAAAAGATTTTTCTCATGAACACAGTACATATATGAATTTTATTCCATTTCAGAAGGTTAAGCACGGTTGAGGTATCATGAATATTTGTGATTTTTCAATATGCAAGTAAATTTACATGCCATTTGAAGAAACAGAAAAAATCTTTTCGGAAGAAATTGAATACTGTATTGGTCAAGTTGTCATCTTTGCTCCACATTGGCTAATAAAATTGCAACTTTGCACCTGGTAAATTACATTCATTGTATGACATAATTCAAGGAAAACACATTTTTGGCACAAAAACAACACATAATAGAGCCCACGAAATTTTTTCCCAAACGTATATGTAAAAGGAGGGGAAAAAATAACATATAGTACAATTACTTTCATGCAGAACTATAAACATATACCATATCTATGTAAAAGCAGAGAAGAAATTTACCTAGATACCTTGGTTTTGATATTGAGGACGATGGACCAGGGCGAGGCTGTCCCAGTTATGCTCCTTTTTCACACTATTATTTTCAGATGTTCCTACTTTAGGCACATAAGCTGGAGCAAAAGGGCCAAACTGATAGCTCTTTGAAGTCTGTTTTGCACTTTTTTCTAAGTTGTTTTTCTCTGGCTGGGCTCCGTGACTCATTTTTTCCTGTTGGTTTTGCATTTTAGAGTTCTGGTCATCCATGAAGAGATCAACTCTGTTTCTTTTAAAAACTACATTTGTGATGTCACTTCCAAACATCCTTTTCCTTGGCTCCTTGATATTTGAATTGTGAACTATGTCAACTGATTCATTCCTTTGTTTCCCTCTAAAACCCAGCCACCTAAATGCTGGTTTTTTTGTGTTTGTTGCATGGGTCTACATCCATTAATACCCATCGTAAGCTTACTGTAGTTCGTTAGAATACAAAAAGGTGCAGAGGAAAATTTAAATGGTGAAAATAAACGACAAAACACTCCTTTCGTAAGGGTCTATGAGAAAATATAAAGTGAACCAAGGAGAATATCACCTTCTCGATTAGGTTCATGGAGGATAGCACATTCGCAATATCATATAGGCGTCTGACTTTTGCTGAAAGATCAATATCATATAAAGTAAAAACTGATAAAGTTAAATGCTTCCTCCTTTGTCAGTGAATAATGGACAAGTCTAAAGGTGTATATGGAAAAATTTATTTGAACTTATACAAGTATTTGAGAAAACTTATAAAATAAGCTATGACCCGTCCATAAGCTGTTTTCACTTACTTGAATAAGTTCATCAGAATAGCTCGTAAAAACAACTTACAATTTATATAAAAGTAGTTTATTCGATTATGCAAACAACTTATACATAAATGCTTACATTATAAATACATATTAAATAAGTGTTTGACTAAACTATTTACCTAAAAAGGCATAAACATTAGTATCACTCACTTCTCATTATTTTATGGGCATTTCCAAGCAACAACTTTGCAGCTTCATCAAGGGTGATCATTTCAATCTGAAAAGCAATTGTTGGAAAGTATCAACATATTAACGTGTTATCAATTTGGAATATCCAAAAAAAAAACGTTAATAAATTGGAGGCACTCACATTAGAGCAGATAAAAAGCTTGACAAAATTCTGAGTAAGCAGTGCCAAAGATTTTTCCCTTCTGTTTTCTGCAAAACATGAAGCAGTGTCAATACTCAAAATATCACAATGCAACATTCATAAATACAACACCTACTTTTACACTTCATATTTCAAAGAAAAGGAATACCTTCAAACACATATATCACTTCCCTCAAACGACACTCGTTTTAAGTCTATATACTATTATCTTAAAAACAGGCATATAGATGGTATGGCGTCCTTGCCATCCCAACAAATATAAACGTAGTCTTCTGTTTAGTCGTTGTTTGATTCGGTCGTGGAATTCATTTCCAGTCATAAAAATGAGTTATGACGCACATTAGCAACTTTAGGAACTCTTTTTATTTGATAAATTTTAAAAATTTTAATTTTCAATAAATATAATTTTAGTCATAACAACCTACCAAGATTTTTAAGCATATAATGCAATTATGATCAATTTTTTAAGCTTATCAATAATCAATAAAAATGAAAATAAAATATAAAAAATATGTTCACTCCCACGTCACATGCTATAGATATTTATCACCCTTTTTCCTGCTCAGTGACTCCTGTTATTTTTCTTCAAGAAAAACACAATTCGTATATTCCTGCTCTGACAGTTCAAAAGCATGGCAGGATCCATGGATGTAAGCCATTCTTTTAATTTAAATACTTAAAATATAAAGAAGCGGAAAGCTTGCCCGAACGGTGAGGTTAACAACCTGCCCAGGATGCAGTTTTTTCAAATTCTGGAACAAACATACAAGAAAGTTCTAGTTTTTTTTTTAAATAAATAATGTTCACAAACAAGATTTATAACATATTTAACTCATTCCGAAGTGAAAGAAAAAGGTTTCAAAAATACCCGTCTTGATCGATTTGGCAGGCGCGGCGGAATCAGGATGTTCCTTATCATTCTGCGTTTCAGTGTCAAGATTGGGAAACGTTTCCTCTTCATCCTCATCATCAGACATCTAAAACAATCCGTTCCAACAGTAAATTAGTCATCAATTGACAAATTTAAATTAAAGAAGAAAGAAAACAGAGGCAATTGACTAACTTTTCCACTATCATTAGAACCATCGAAAGATGCTGGATTCTCCTTAAAACCTTCGTCCTACAAAACAATAACCTAAAATGAATGCCTATCTTAATTGCTCAGCATCAATTAAACAAATATGTCATCTTTCAAAAGAAGACAGACCTTGAGCTCCTGCAAAGCAGCAGGAATGGCGGTAAATCCCTT